GGTCAGGAAGGTGGGACTCAAACACACATGTGTATGTAATCTACGTGTGAATCAAGTAATGGCAGCTTGGATTGCAGCTGATATGTTAGACAGATGTAGGATACATCCAGAGTGGGCTCCTGATCAGATAATGGATGAGGTCAAATTGAAGCACAACATGGATGTTAAGAAGAGAACCTGCTATGGGGCGAAGGTAGAAGCTATAAAGATGTTGAGTGGGAGTTTGGTAGTTGAGCCTTGTCGCCCTGTCATAACTAGATGGGATTGAGGCTCTTGCCTTAGCCTCCATGAACCATGATGAGGTCTTGATCTCACCCTCGGCTGCTTGATGACTCCCCACTCTAGTGGTCTTGAGACCGCCACCACCTCAATGACACCAAACCCTCCTCATTAACTTGTTGGTTGTTACCAAGCCGTCTCATCGGCTTGACACCTTCTGGCATGCTACCAAGCTCATATAATAAACTTGACACTCCTACCAAGCCAGCCCTGGTGGCTTGGTCTCCATACTTAGTTTTTGTAGCCTCGTCAAGTTGGTAAGTTGCACCCTGCCGGTTGGGTACCCCGTTAAGGAGCTACCAAGCCCGTCTTGGGAATTCGTCTCCATATGGCCCCATAAGGGCTCAACTCTGCATCCTAGTCGATCCATCCATGGCTGTTTGGCTTGATACCGTGATGTTTGGCTATCAAGTCCGTTTTGTCGTCTTGATACCCAGACTTAATTTCTATATGACTCTCTTAGTTGGTCTGATGAGAAGCTTAACCAATGGTTCGATCCGCCCACCTGTAGGGCTATTAAAGAGATTCCTCTCCCAAGAAGGGAGGTGCCTGATAAGCTTATTTGGCATTTTACGGCAGACGGGGTTTTCTCGGTCAAATCGGCATACAATTTGGCTGTTGATCTGGATAGGAGAAGGGGTGGGTGGCGATCCTCGGTTAGTTGGATGGATAAGCCAAGATGGATAAGAGTTTGGGAGGCGAAGATCCCTCCGAAGTTGAAGGTGTTTGTTTGGCAAATCCTCAATCGGGCCCTGCCGACTATGGAGGCGCTTATTGAGAAAAAGGTCCAGGTCCTACCGCAGTGTCCAGTTTGTTGGGATGGTCCGGAGACGATGGAACATTTGTTCCTTTATTGTCCGGTTGCGCGGGCTCTCTGGGACTATTCAGGGCTGGATTACTTGGGGGAGGGTTTGCCTCGACACACTTTTCCTTTGTTCCTCAAATGCCTGTTGGAGCTAATTCATCAACCGTCGGTGGTTATGGCTGTTGTTACCATCCTTTGGAGGATCTGACGATCTCGAAATTGGGTAGTCTTTGAAGGCAAACAATTTGGGATCCCAGCGCTCATGCGGCAATTTAATCAGCAGTTTGAGGAATGGGTGGGTCTACCAGCGGACCAGGCTCCTAGGGTGGCGATCCCGTTGATGCATCCCACAACGCAAGAGGGAGAGTCCCATTTGGTTTGCATGTGGGATGGGGCTACTAAGGGTGGGTCGCATTCGGCTGGTGGGATGGTTCTTCTGACCCCAGCGCGGACCCTTCTTCTGGCTAGAGGAGTTCAGTTTCCCCAAATGGATGACCCTGCTACTGTGGAATTGCTTGTGCTCAGGGAAGCTATAGTTTGGTGTGTGGAGCAAGGCCTGTCGGAGGTCCGGTTTGAGGGCGATGCGAAGGTGATTATTGACAAAATTAATCAAGGCGATATAAGAGATAGCCGGTTGGGTGCTATTCTGGAAGAGATCGGTCATTATGTTCGTACGCAGCCTGGCTTTAGTGTGCGCTTTGTAGGTCGGGAGAACAATAGGGTAACTCATTTGGTAGCTAGGAAAGCTCTTTCTTTGTATCCGACTATGAGTCGCTTCTTTGATTTCCAGGCCTGGCTGGTTTCCAGGGTGTAACTGTCTTTTTTTTAATCAATACATGATATCTTTTAAAAAAAAAAAAAAACTTGACCACCTCAAGGATTAACACTAAAACCATCACCATCTACTTCGTCAAACTTTGGCTTTTGATTCAAAGCCATGTAAACCCACAACCTTGCCGCTTCTTAATCTCATTTAAGAAAATTAATTTAATGAAATTAAACTTCCTTCTTTTTGTTTGCCAATACCTGGCGTTCTATGATGAAGCCAATGTTTTCTTTTCCGCAACCACCTTAGCGTTTGGTCACTCAAACCTTTAACTATCTTTAATCAATGGATATGAAAAACACTTCCTTCTCCCCATAGTAGTCGACCTCATTATTGACTAATCGGACTGGCGGCTAAAGCAAACCGGGCTAATAGTTAACAATAATTTTTTTCTTCTTCCGAACTCTAAAGCTTAGAGAGGCATCTTGGAACTTGGAAGCTCTTGTTTTCTTCCCCGGATCGGCCACAACAAAGCCAAGTCTCTGTACGGCCCGAGGCTAGACTACCACCACCCGGTGAAGATCACTAACTCTAAATTAATCCATCCACATGGCATTGGCGGCTGATTTTGACTTATGACTTGAAAAGTCAGTAAACCTGCTTACTTGTTGCCCTATGCGAGATTGTGGGGAGAAGGGGAGCCAACTTATTTTGTGACTCGTTAAACCTGCCCCATCCATACTAAGAACTAGAATGGAAGGGAACATATACAAACTAAGCTCCCTTCTCAGACTTCTTTTCATATTCAAGGACGAGGCCAACTCTAAAACACATTGTTTTGTTCTGCCTAGCCTCACACGGCCGGCTTATACAGCCGTCGACGAGGTGGAGACGCATTCCCTTTTACACAACCTTTGTGTGGCTACCACTTGCTTGCCCCCACGGCAGAGTTTTATTGTCTTAGCCAAGTTTTCACCTTTGGCATATGGGTGTGGCATCAGTCAACTTAGCCTCACTTTCACCACCATCAATACTATACATATATCCCAACATATCCTTCGTGACATGGCTAGCTGCTCAAGTCATTCCTCATCAAGAGGGTATCATGTCATGCCTTAGGGTGTGGGTGGCTTGGCATGCCGGCCACCATGGTGGTCGACTAACATTGAACCCGTTGACAACCCACGTCCCAAAGAAAAGGACATAAGGCTTGAAATACTTGTCATTGATTAATCGATCACGTGGGGCATCCCATCCTCTTACGACAAGCATGCCTCCTTGACGGGTGACCTAGACAATAAAGGATCTACACCGACACTCAATCATCTGCTCATGCCATGTAAACGGCATGGATCCAGCCACCACATTACTGCGGCTTACCAGTCATGACCAGGTACATGCATAAAAAATCTCACTAAAACTTGTCACTTTGACGTCATATTTTTTTAGCCATTATTGGCTTGTGATTTTCCTTTTTTCCTTTTTACTAATATTTTCTTTATTTAATTAATAAAACACAGTGTCAAATATCACTTCCCACTATCACTTTTTGACAACCACCAACGTGCCAAAGGTGTACACCCACTGCCAAGTCCATAGGTTAAACCAGACCAACCATCCATACACTACTTGTCTTCCCTCCGTTAGGGGAAACAACTCATTTGGTGTTGGTTTCAAATTTTCCAACTTAACAATAGATGGCACCCTCTCAACTTGCTCTGTCTCAGTGGGCTTGCAAGGGGTCCCATGATCCACTGCCTTGGCCACCTTACTAGACATGTTGGGTTGATGTTGAACTCGATGTGTTTGCCTCGTCCTGGGTGGTGCACTAGACATTTTCAACTCCTTCGACTCATCAAAGGGGCCAAGAGTTGTCATCTGTCTTAGTTTATCCCAACTTGGCACATGCTTACTCTTCCCATATGGTTGAGAAGACGAGTGTTTGGATTTACAGAGTTGACGACCACCCTTGTGGCCAACTTGACTCTTTCAAATAACCCATGTCTTCATGGTTTTTACACTTAACACATAACAACACTTGATTCTTTATAGGAACATGATTGGTTGGTGTGTGTCGAGACATCTTATTCATACCTTCTTGTTTGCCATTTATGTTTGGCATGCAATGGGGGGCTTTAGGCATGGACTTGCTTCCTCGTCCATCCCTTAACATCATCTCATAGTTAGAAATTTTTTGAGTGGGTTGGGTGTGATGAACACTCCTAGACTTGTTCTCCACTCGTTTCTTCACTGTTGGTTACATGCCCCCCTTTCCACTGGTTGGAGACATGCCCCCATAGCCTTGTTCATGGTTTTTGACGTGCCCCCTTTGTCAAACTGAACTACACTACCATTCTTACTACAAGCATGTGTGGCTTGGGTTTGTTGTGGCTTCTTGGGCATGTGTATCTTTCTATTTTTTGTGGTTGATGATATGCCCCCTTGTCGATCCTTCATGGGTGGCATGCTACAAGGGGCCTTGCCTCCTTGTGCACTATTTGACTCGTTATGAAAATCATAGGTGGCATGGGTAGGCAACACCCACTTAGACTTGCCACTCACTTCATCCTTCATGTCTGATGACATGCCCCCCTGCCCACTGCATGGAGATGGAGATATGCCCCCCATTAGGAAACAAATATGGTGTTCTGTTGGACACACCATTTTTTTCCACCTTTCTTGACATCAACTTGCCCCCAGCCTGACTCTTCATCTTCAACTTGTCAGGTGGTAGGCTTCCATGCACCTCTTCCTGCCCCCCTGGTGGTTTGCATCCACAAGACCGCTTAAGCATCGATGGCAATGAGGGTGGGCAAACTTGTGGTAGCACATCCATAGCTAGTGACCCTCCACCAACTCTCATGTTTAGGGCTGGTAATCGGTACGGTTATCGATATACCGAAACCTCCTAAATGGCTGCCGACAACCGACACCGGGTGGAAACCGGTTAACCGGGTTACCGACTAACCGGCTAACGATTAACAACCTGGTTACCAAATTACCGGCAACTTCAATCGTCACCATCAAACTTCTTCCTCTCCCTATCGCAAGCCTTTGACTCCCCAGTTCCCTTCGACTCCCTAGTTCTCTCTTCCAAGCTTTTCCTCAGCAAGCCTTCGACTCCGACTCCTCTTCCTCCTCTCCGTAGGCATGCTCATCCTCTTCACCTGGGCAAACCTACCCGCCAACCTCCGATCAGAATCTTCCCCCGCCTTAGTTCCGGCTGCTCTGCCTCAAATCCCTCCACATGCAAATCCAATCTCCATCTCTTCGACTCTCCAGTTCTCTCCTCCAAATTCTTCCCTTCTCAAATCGCCGCCCACCTCCTCTCTTTCCCAATCTCCCCACCTGTCGTTGCCGCTGCCGCAATGGAGAGACAATCTTGTTGATTTGCCGAAATCAGATTCAACCCTCGAGATTTCAATTCGTCAATTGAAATAGTGTCTGGCTGCTGCTCAAGCGCAGAAACAATCGATGGAATCCTCTATCTCCATCCAACGCGTGTTCCATCGTCGCCATCCAATGTCGGTCTTAGATCTGGATTGAGAAAGCCACCGCTTTCAATCCGCCAGGAACGTTATGCGACTGAGGCATGGCGGAGGGTGGTCGTTGACTTATTTCCTTCGCAACTGGAGTTGGGGCTGGTCTAATACGAGTGGCCGGTGAGGGACCTGCAAAATTGCTGAATCTGGAGACAGGGAGAGATTGCTGAGTGGAGACAGAGTCGAGAGACGAGGAAAAATCATCTCTGCGATGGCTGCGTAGTCGGTTTACTCCGTATACCGACTAACCGCCGGTTTTTAACCGGATAGAAGACGGTATACCGACAGCTCCAATGTTGTCACCATGTACCGACAACTCCTGGTTAACGGTATACCGGTTACCACCGGTTACCGGTACGGTTACCGGTTAAATCGTTAACCGCATATCCGAATACCAGCCCTACTCATGTTCAAGAATGATCTAGCCTCTGAGACAGTTTTTAGAGTAACTGTCTGCACAGGCGGCGGTTGCTTTACATGGGTGGTGAATGCGTTAGTAATATTCTTGTCATAACCGCCTTGTTGAAGAGGTGGTTGACTCATTGCCGGAGGCGGTAAGTTCCCTGACCGTGGCTGGGTAGTCCGGCCACCGGAGAACAGGATACTTGTATACTCAGTAGCAATGCTTGGTGGCGGATCTATACCATTTTTTGGTAAAGAAATTTCTCGCACCACTGATTCTATAAAATATTTTTTAAGCTTATCCAAGCAATTTGTATTTTCTGTAGTTGCTTCAAGCAATTCATCCAAATGTCTATCTAACATAGAACTAAAAGAAGCAAGTTTTAGACTTGTCTGTTGTGAACTTCTAACAAGTCCATTCAAACTCTCTTCCATCAACCGACGGATCTCCACCATCACTTGACGGTTCTCCACCACCATCTTGCAGTTATCATCCACTATTGAGCGGAGTGACATGGTAGTGGTGGTTACATCGGCACAAGGTGCCGCCGGTGGCAATATCTCAATCATGCCATTGTTTCCGACAACACTTACTGATGCTTGGCCAAATTTGAACTTGGCCACCAACTCCTTCACAAATCCTGGTGAAATATCACCTTCCTGATTTCTCAGTCGTGTAGCCATCAAATCAAACACATAGAGTCCCACCAGGTGTGCCAATTTGTTTTCCGGTGAGGAAAAACTGGTGTTTGAACTCAATTAATGCACCTTGACTTCTCGAACAACGATTAATAACACGGTTCACTCCTCTCCAAACAATGTTCGAACGAGGGTGTTTGATGTTTTTGATGGTTTTTGGGAACAATCTAAGTTACTCTACTCCTATGGAGGTTCAGTGAGAGCTCCGAAAAACTAAAAGTTGATTTGCAGAGAAAAGATAAATTTTGACATTGTGCGTCAAATGTTTGGTTGTGGAACCCTTTTCCTATCTTCGTTTCTCCTATTTATAGCCACTAGGAGTAACTGCCTTGGTAACTGATAACCGTCTTGCTGCTCCAACCGCCTTAGGGATCCCTTTTCGTTGCCTTGGTTGCCAATTGGTAACCGTTGTCTTGGTCTTCACCTCCATTTACTTGGAGCTCCTTGACCCATCTTGTTGACTGGTTGGTATCCATCTCCTTGGAGGCCCTTGTCCCATCTTGGGGTTGGTGGGTACTTGATGGCCTCGATGCCGGGTCGGGTTGGTGGTGAGCCTTGTCGCCCTGTCATAACTAGATGGGGTTGAGGCTCTTGCCTTAGCCACCACAAACCATGATGAGGTCTTGATCTCACCCTCGGCTGCTTGATGACTCCCCACTCTTGTGGTCTTGAGACCGCCACCACCTTAATGACACCAAACCCTCCTCATGAACTTGTTGGTTGTTACCAAGCCGTCTCATCGGCTTGACACCTTCTGACATGCTACCAAGCTCATCTAATCAACTTGACACTCCTACCAAGCCAGCCCTGGTGGCTTGGTCTCCATACTTAGTTTTTGTAGCCTCGTCAAGTGGGTAAGTTGCACCCTGCCGGTTGGGTACCCCGTTAAGGTGCTACCAAGCCCGTCTTAGGAATTTGTCTCCATATGGCCCCATAAGGGCTCAACTTTTCATCCTATCCGATCCATCCATCGCTTTTTGGCTTGATACCGTGATGTTTGGCTATCAAGTCCGTTTTGTCGTCTTGATACCCAGATTTAATTTCTATATGACTCTCTTAGTTGGTACCTGGCTAGGCCCCCTGTTGCCTGGCCACCAAGTCAGTCTCGCCGGCTTGATACCCCTTGGGGTTATGGTACGGGCTTGATACCTCCTTGGGGTCATGGTACCCTATCCCCTTGCTTGGTTGTCAAGCCAGTCGGCTTGATACCCATATTGCTCCATACTTAGCCAAATTCCATGTCATGGTACCAAACCCTGCCTTGTTTGTTGGCTCCATACTTAGCCAATTTTCATATACTTTGGTACCAGGCCCTGCCTTGTCGCCTTGGTACCCTCTTGGCTTAGGACTTAGCCAAATTTCATGCTTGGGTACCAAACCTGTCTTGCCGGCTTGGTACTCTCTTAGCTCTATACTTAGCCATTTTACGTGTATATTTGTGTATCAGGCCTGCCTTGCCGGATGGCCTCTTATTTGGTATCCGACTTTGTACCCGATCATTTGGCACCCCGATGTGCCGCCCAAGCTTTGGTTTGCCGGTACCACCCATTATGGCCCCCTGGTCATTGGATTCCATACTTTGCCAATTTTCATACTTGGGTACTAGCCCTATTTTGTCGGCTTGGTACCCCTTGGCTTGGTATCCCTTGTGTCGCCTTGTTTCCATACTTAGTTTTTAGATGGCCTCATATTTGGTACCCGGCTTGGTACCCGGTCGTTCAGCACCCCGTTGTGCTGCCTTGTTTCCAGACTTAGTTTTTGGGAGCCAAATCTCATATCAAGGGATGGAGTCATCGTCCGACTATGGGGGCCAAGAAGACGGGTCGACCATCATGTATGTAGAAGAGCTTGGCCACTTAAGCCCAAAAAACCCAACCCAACAAAGGCCAACTAGCTCTTTAATGATTAATGTTGAGTTGGCCTTATAAATCCATTAATTCTCTTATAGTTGATCGATGTGGTACAAATTGTTTTTTTTATGGGTAAACACAAGTATAGGGGAATGAGGCTGATTGACATGCTTGAGGGTATTAGGGGTATTTGATGGATAGGATTGTATTGAAGTACAAAATGTTGTATGATAACCCTGATAAGCTATGCCCCAGAATTAGGAAGAGAATTGAGAAGGAGAAGGCTCTTGCTAGATTGTGCACTTCTAGGCAAACATTAGATGACAAGTGTGAGGTTAAGATGGGAAGTCGAGGGTACATTGTCGACCTCAACAATTGTAGCTGTAGTTGTGGGTATAGGGTAGTGAGTGGATTACCATGCTGCCATGTTGTTTCAGCAATCTGACATATGAGGAAAGACGTTGATTCGTATGTTAGTCAATGCTTCTGGACTCATGTGGTGTTGGATGCATACAAGGTAGGCATTCCTTGTTTCGATGGGAGACAAGCAAGGCCAGAGGCCTCTGGCTACCCTGTGCTCCCTCCAAAACAAAGAGCTATGCCTGGAAGGCCTAAAAAAATAGGAGGAAAGCAGCACATGAGTTTGTGGTTCGACCTCAAACGCATGGAGTGGGTGAGGAAGCCTCAAAAAGGGGAACCCTAATCCATTGTGGCAAGTGTGGTGAAGAGGGACATAATGCACGAACTTGCAAGTCTCCCACGGTCGTTGAAGCACCAAGAACTGTAAGTACACTTTAGTCCGTAATTAAAGTGTTTGTGGTAGTAATTTTCCATTGCTAATCTTTTGTTTTTTATATTGGCAGAGGAGCAGGGCCCTTCCTAGAGCGAGGGAGGCCACGCAACAACCTGCCTTAGCAACTGGAAAGAGGACAAGAGTGTCCCATTGCAGCAAATGTGTCTCTGCCACACATAATGCTAGAACATGTCCCCTTAATCAAGGGAATGGAATTCAGGTATTATACGAACTTTATTCTGCTAGAGTGTGAGATGCAATGATTCTGATGTGTTGTATCATTGTATCAAGTAAGGCAAAATGTGGATGATCAAAGAACCATAGGACGTGAGATGAGGGTAGCAACAAGAGGAATATGAGTCTGATATGATCCCAATTGGATCAATCCACAATTCACAATTACTTGTAAAAGAAGCCATCTCACTTTACAAGAAGAATTCTGATTTTTGGCTAAGTGTTGAAATAGTTTCAGGTAGCCTACTTTGGAAGCTTGTATCTCACACATGGCTCAATCAAAATGGGAGATCAAGAGCTTGTTTTGAAGATAATGTTATTATGTTTACATTGGTATGTTTTGGAGCTCAAGGAGATGTCTGGAAGGTCACTTTCAAAGCCCATCAAAAGGCTACCTCAAAACAGAAAAACTGCCTAAATTTGGCTAAGGCAGAAAACTGTTTTGAGATACCAAGTTTGAAGGCCTATATATGGAGTTTGGAGCATGATCTCAGGCTGATTCAAATTGGAGGTGAAGGAGCAAGTTTTCTTCTACAAAGGCAAGGAATTGGTTGAGTTCGAATCAACCTAGAAGACCATTTGGGAAGGGCTCAAAGATGCTATGAAGTCTGTTTTCCTAGGCAGACTTGCTTGCGTTTTAAGTCAGTTTCTTGGCCAGCAAATTACCTTGTTTTACACGAATTATTTAGCCCTTTCCTATTCTAATTAGTTTCCTTGTTCATGTAGGGTTGTATTAGGGTTTATTGTCTTTAAATACCTTTCCAATTCACGTTGTAAAGTAGAGTTGATTGAATTGAATACAAACCGAGTGTTTGGAGTTCTTGAGTTGCGTCTCGAGATTTTACCCATTGTAATTAGCTACGAGTGGATTCCTTAGCTAATTACAAGACCCTTGTGAAGCTACTCTGAGTGGATTCCTTA